AATTACAAATAAAAAAGTTCTTCGAAAGAGTTATAAATATCCGTGTGATATATAATAATGATAATATAATTATATATTATTATTATAATAAATATAATTATAATATATTATTTATTATAATATATATAATAATATAATTTGTCCACCATCGTAATAGACACATTACAACCAAGAATGAAAATAAGGTGGTTTTACAAATGAATTGAAGTCACTCTTATTATTGCATTTTATTTATAAACATATGAAATAGTCGGCCTACACAGAATCTCATGTAGACATCACATACTTATAATGGCAGTGAAACTGATTAATGTAGCAAGATACAATATAAATAAAATTGTTCATCTTACTTATTCGACTTAGGTTCTGAATGGCACATTTCCGTTTCCTCAAGCATGTAAACCGAATAGCTGTAAGTTCACAGAATACTTAAACATTCTCACTAGTGTGCTCCTTACAATTAAATCATTCTCCTCGCGAGTATCATCATCATTACGTTTCGCCCGTAACGGTATATGTAAGATGTAGGTCGTTAATAATTTAAGCATTAATTATTTCGATGTCTCTGTCATAATGGGAAATTAATGGAAGACACAATGTATAGTCACAATTCAGTCTTGCCAATGAGAACTCGATTATTATTCGAAATCTATCGGAAGCAAACTGGTCCAAACGCAAAACCGAACGCCTGATGGGATGAACCGTAATCGATCGGGTAAAAATCAATCAGCGGCAATTGTTCTAAATTCTTCGTTCGAACTAAGAATACAGTTTCCCCTTTGCTCTTGCGCGTTTTACAACCGTCCATTATGATTTGTGGCTTGACAGTGGTGTATGAGAATTCGTCCTCGTTCGAACCGAGTAACCGCAGCGCGGTGTCGTAATTTGAATCCGCAGCGTTGTACCAGGCGACGCTGTTCGTGCAGGTGTAAGTGAAATTTTGGTAAGCATCTTCGCTCAGCAGACGCAGGAAATTTAGTTGTACCACACCGATGGTTTCGTATGTGATCTATAATATTAATCGCAGCAGATACAAATGTCTGAAGTCTTTCATTGAGCAACTTGTTTTTTTAGATCTTAGGAAAGGAAAATTCGGGTGGCAAATTGAAAAGGTGCTGACAAGGAAAATCACGAAGGCAACATGCGAACTTTGCTGGAGATACGAAAGACTGTAACGCGAATTTAGTGATAAAACTAACAACGAGAGAGAATTGATTAGCGATGAAGAAGTAAAAGAGGATGATATACGTGTACAATCATAGACAAATGAACGCTTTTTAAAATGGAATAACTTATTTCAAATTGGAACAAACAAGGTGAACATTTTTTGACAATTTTGTACAACGAGGATGATATTAGAATTAAAATTTTTGCAAAAATATTTGTAAAATTGTCTAGCAAAGTAGCCCTGCTAACATCTCAGAAAAATTCAAATCGTTTGATTCAATTTTAGAAAAGTTATTCTGGTGTGAAAGGTATTCGCATATATTTGTCCATGACTATACATATACAGAGTATCCAAAAATTATGGTATATCTTGGAAATGAGGGGTTCTTTAAGTAATTTGAAGCATCTTTTTCCTTTACAAAAATTTTCTCCGAGGCATCGTTAACGAATTATTAACGAAAAACACTGACCAATGAGGGGCGAGCTCGCTTGGCGCTAAGCGGCCGAGTCAATGAGCGAAATTGGGCTTGGTGTGCTCGTCGGCTCGACCGCCGCGTGCTCGCCTCTCAGCCGAGCTCGCCTCTCATTGGCCAGTGTTTTTCGTTAATAATTCGTTAACGATGCCACAGAGAAGAAGTTTGTAAAGGAAAAAGTTGCTTCGAATAAACTCAGGAATCTCTAATTTCCCGGAAGTACCATAATTTTAGGATTCCCTGTATATTCGGATAACCATTATAGCGTAAAAATAAAATAAAATTAAAAGTAATATAGACACATGTGGTGTATGGATAGAGCTCTAGATAAATAAATAAATAAATAAAAACTTACTTTAGATCCACCGCGTAAATTCGAATACCAGTCCGTTTCGTTGTCCTCTTTCCTCCACGGAATGGCCGGTTTTGGACTCACGTGAGTGTCAGGGAACACGCAGGTTTCGCCCATATTCGTCATGTTACAGTAAACATATACAGCGTCGTCGGCCATTCCCAAATTTGGATCGATCCAGTACCAGCCTATTATTAAACACATATAAATTGTTAAATCATTGACAATATCACAGATCTGTATGCGCAATAAGACCGCCAACCGTCATTAAAATGAGGATGTCCATAAAACAAGTCCCTGCAAGTTCGTACAGGATTTTCTCGGCTCCCAACAGGTTTACGTATTAGATCCAATTCTTGTCTCATAGCGTATATCGAACTGTACAAGTTCAAAAAATTAGACCCCAACTCCTCTTCCGTAAGATCGTCCTTATGTGTATTCTCTGAACTCCTATCTTTCTCGTTAATAACATCCCTACAAAAATCAAACTATTATAGAAATATTTACACCTTTGTCATTAATAATTGAAGACAACTTTCTTACACATTTTCCGAAACGTCACGTTTCCTTCTCAATAAGTGCTCCCTACTAAACAATAATTCTGGAGGAATCATTGGTTGCTCCGATGGTGGTCCAGGAGGGCCAGGAGGACCCGGAAGACCAGTTTCACCTTTTGGCCCATCGTTCCCAGCATTACCTTTAGGTCCAGATGGCCCTTCCATGCCAGGAAGCCCTGGAGGGCCGTCGTTGCCTTTAGGTCCAGACAATCCCAGCGGACCTTGAACTCCTTTAGGTCCTTCGAGTCCAGGTGCTCCACGAGGACCTTGCTCTCCCTTTTCCCCTTGCTCGCCCTTGATACCTAAATGGCCTAGGTCTCCGCGATGTCCTTTAAGACCCCTTTTGCCTCTGTCACCCTTTGGACCTTTAGGTCCGACTGGTCCAGCTTTTCCAGGTGCTCCAACTGGCCCTGCCATACCAGGTGGTCCATTTTCTCCAGCGAGCCCAGGGAGACCTCTTAAACCAGATAAACCTTGTGGTCCTGGCAGACCCTGAGGTCCAGTGTGACCTGGTAGTCCCTTTACACCAGGTAAACCCATGTCACCTTTTTCACCTGGCAAACCTGGACCTCCTTGCATTCCCGCCGGACCTTCTGGACCCTGGAGATTTTTATTTATACATTTTAATGTATTCGATAAAACGATTTAACCCTTAGAGCTCTATGGACGCATATATGCGTTTGGCGAAAGTCATCCGTGTAGCCTAAGGCCGCATTTATGTGTTTTCTTTAAGTCATCGGCCTGGACTAAGGGCGCATATATGCGTTTGTCGATTTCTTCAATCAATATGCAGTTATTTTCGTGTAAAATTAATACAGGGGCACTCGTTAGTAATTTGCCTTCCTTAGGTAGCGATTGGGCAATATTAGGGTCATAAAAATCCCCGGGAATTTCCGAAACGGAAATCCCATTTTATGTCCCACTCTCTAACCAATTAGATTTCAAAATAATTACCTGCACTGTCACCTTCTCGCGACTCAAAGCACTCAAAACGACTCAGTCAGCATAACCTCACGGTCTCGCTCGCGTCAACAACGATAGTGCGGAATATAACTTGTTCGACTTTTTTTTTTATTCGTGACACCCTACAAAATGTCAAATCTTGAGGAATATTTCACAAGGGACGA